TTAGGGTTTAGGGTTTCAGAAAGGACTGTTGTTCAGGGTTTAGAGCATGAGGATATCTTTAGGGTTTCGGCTTTGAGGGCTAAGGGTTGAGGGTACAAAGATTCGAAGGTCCAAGGTTTGGGTTTCAAAACCGAGGGCTCAGGGCTTCAGAGCTTGTGGATTCGGGACTTGGGCACGCTTGCAGGATCAGTATGTATGTGAAAATCGGAGGGCATTGCCAGACAAGGTCAACCAGAGGACTTCTACAAGCTAAAGCCTAAACCCTAGTTTCCAGGTCCACCGATGTAGAGCTCCATTATTCTAGTCCCTGAACCCTAAACCCTGTAGTAGTTCAGGTTCCTGAAGTCCTGAGCCCAAGTGGCTGATGATGAAGACCGCCCAGCCCAGCTGCAGCAGCGCGTAACCTGGAAATCGCTCATGGCGTCATAGTTTAGGGTTCACGGCTTTTTAGGGTTGGGGGTTTGGGGCTGTTTAGAGTTTAGGGTTTAGGGTTTGAGGGTATGGTATCCAGCTGTGGTTGGGATCGGGGGGAACTTTATCTACATTCAGGACTCGCAAAGATTATTGATGCCAATGTTGCGCTGAGGAATACGGATTTTCTTGCTGCTGCTGCGACTACGAAACTCGCAAGTTGTGCTCTCTTCGAAGAAGTATCAATACACACATTGCCATCACTGCGATTCGGGCTATGACAACGCTTCAGTCCGATTGTTTGAATGATATAGCATCTGCCGTTGCTTGTTGTGGCTTCTACCGCGAGCACTATCATGACGACGACGGCATCGACGACTACTTCTGCTACCTTCTCTAGCTTCAGCCACCTTCTACTACCTTCTACTACCTCTATACTGCTTCAGCTCTTCCTACGACTGCAACTACTTCTACTTCTGCTACTACTCTTGTACTTCTTGTACTTCTACTGCTTCTCCTGCTTCTTCTACTAAGGCGCTAAGACTTCGACGACGACGACGACGACGACGACGACGACGACAACGACGACTGCGACTGTGACCGCGACTGCGGCCGCGACTGCGACTACGACCGTGAGTACGACTACAGCTACGACGACGACGACGACGACGACGACGTCGACTACAACTACGACAACGACGACGACGCCGACGACGACGAGGACTACTACTACCACCACTAGCACACTACCGCTTCTACAGTAGTTCTCCTACTTCCTAATGTCAAAGCCCTCAAACCCTAAAACCATAAAGTCTAAACCCATCTAGATCCGTTAGCTTATAATATGTATCCCTTTTACACCCCTTTTTGATCCCTTTGAAGGAAACCTAAACCCAAACCCCGAGAGCCCTAAGCCCACATTTCAGAGACTTCCAAGGCCCTCGCCCGAGTTGCCGGCATGCGCAACCTGCTTCACCCCAAACTTTACGGCGTGCAGGCTTGAGGTTTAGGGATTCGGGGGTTAGGGGTTCTGGGTTTCGGGGTTTAGTTTTTGGTGGTTTGGGAGTATGGGGCTTCAGGGTTTAGAGATTGGTATTTTGGGGGTCTAGGACCTATTCAGGGATTTAGATGTCCAGGCCGGTGATTGAAGGTTCAAGCCACGGTGGGTAAACCCGTAGACCCCTAAACCCTAAACACCCAATCTCTACACCCTTTTTGCCTTAAGCCCGATTCCCCAAACTGAACCCTAAACCCTAAACCCTAAACTCCGTCCGGACCTCTGGAGCAGCGCCAGCGACGGCGCCCAGGATGGCCATCTGCGGGACATGACGTTTGTTTTAGGGCGTCGGACGATAGGGTATTGTACTATAATACTATAATCATAATAAGGAACCCCAGAATAGGGGATACCCTAAACCCTAAACCCTAAACCCTAAACCCTAAAATAGTATTAGTAATTATTGAGGCCCCTTTAGCACTTCAGGATGCAGGGTTTCGGGTTTTGGGCGTTTAGACTTATCGCTGGTTTGTGGTCCTCAATAGAACGTATCCTCCGACCTGGCGATGCATTGGATGGGTTTGGTTTGAACACCTCCTTTTTCCGTCTCCGCACCCAAATAATTAAGACCCCCCGGAGAAAGGCAGGGTCGTCGGGGTTTAGGGCTTCAAGTTGTAGGATTCCTTTAGTTAGGTGGATTGGAAACCGGGTCTTCTGCCCTGGATTGCGGTTTAGGGTTTAGGGTTTAGGGTTTAGGGTTTAGGGTTTAGGGTTTAGGGTTTAGCGTCTACGCCGCCCCTCGAAGGGTACCTGCTCTCAGATGTCCTCGGAATTGGAGCACAAATTTTATATAAGGCCAAATACAGGCTCAAGACCACTAGCCAGCAAGTACCGTGAATGAAGGAAGGAGGAAAAGGACTGCGACAAGCAAGTCGAAAGTTGTTGAAATCGTTGAACTGGATGCGAATGGGGGTGCTACATCTAGGCTATGGATCACAACTCCTTGCTCGGTCTGAAGTACTTGCTTGTTATGTGCCGAGATTGAGAACAA